AGTTTTACCGAGAGATCCGATCATATTTGTCAAAATTCAGAAATAGCCTTATTCGAAATAATTACCATAATTACTCTTTTAAGGTCTATAACTTTTTATTTTGGGCCTCCCCCAACTAAAAATGGTTATTTATATTTTTTTCTAAACATTAAAAGTCCGTAAAAAAATTTGCAACCCAGTTACAGGTGGAGCTGTGATTCTGAATAATTGCCGATAAAATAAATGGAATCATGGACAAATTGAACCGTCCCCAAGAATTCACACACACATCTCGTAAGATATCATATTCCTTCTTTACAAAACCCCATTCTAACAATACTTTATTCCAACGCTAAAAGTCTAAAGGAATGTTAGTAAATAACAACATCACGTCCAACTATATTAATTGAAAGTGGTATCAATGTAAGCTCAATAATTTATCGACCAAATAAAAATTGGTTCTTATTTGTCCTTTACTTTTGTTGATTTTGATATTTTTTATGATCAAAGCTTTTTTCAATTATATATATAATATTAAAAATTTTAATTAGAAATTAGGAAATTAACCACGTTTGCAAAAAAGGGATCTAGAGCTTTTTGACTGCAACACCAATTTCCACCATGTAAGATGAAGGAACTCAAACATGAACTCGAGAGGAAAAAGTCTTCACGAGTTTATTATGAGCACCAACCTCACTATTTTGAAAGGAGATATACAACTATCTTTTGGACTTCAAAAGACAAGAGATAATAGATATTATAATCTGACAAGCCTGGTAAAGAACGGAAGAGTCTCTGATGAGCCTTCAGGCTCAGACTAACAATAAGACAGATATTCTCACAGTCATACATCGCAAATTAAATGGTATCATAATCTTAGACATATTTACTGAAGGGACTACAGAGCCAACTTAATCGCCAGACTAAGAATGCCACGACCAGATTCCACACGAGGGATAACCTAGAAGAGACTGCGTAAAACCTAAACGACGCCACTATAAAAAATTTTATTTTAAACCTAGGCATTTTTACAATTAAATTAAAGAAGTAGCAATAAGAACCAGCGCAACTTCAGAGCGCGTACTTTATTATAATTAATACATATACAATACATATACAAAATGAACAGTTCGGTCCCTCTTGAACCATCCTTAGCGTAATATAAATACAAACACAAATATTAATAGTAAATAAATAGTAAATTAATAATAAATATGAATAGTAAAATTAGTGGAAAACTATTATAAAATAAACGGACGCAATATAATATTTAAAATAAGTATTATTGATATTGCACAGTCAATCAAAACTGGATCTGTCATATCACAAAAAGATAAAAAGATTTTTGACCAAAACTTTCTAATAAGAAAATGAAAAGAGTTTTGTACCAAAACTTCTTAAAGTAAATAACTTTCAAGAGCTCAGACATGAGGTAAAAAGGCTGTTCAATAGAGCAAGAAAAACAGTATGCAATCAACCTGGGAGGAATTTAGAGCCTCTTAGGAAAACTATCGTAAAACGACTATCACCACTAAAGAATATTCTGTGAAAGCATTGAGAGCGTGCCCAAAATATTTAAGTTTAGCAGAATTCTCAGCACTAATAAGAACTTCCATCTGGACTATCTCAAGCTTCCAATTAGAGGGTTTACAAAATTAATAGAGAAGTCCCTCTGAAACACCTAATAGAAGTTCACTTTCCAGGTTTCCAGGAAATTCCTCTTAGTCACACCAATGGACTAAGGACTCAATCCAGAGCGGATTACAAACCCAGAGAATGTTCGCTCGCGGCATATAGTTACTCTGACGATGTAGCCATTGTGATGAAAAACAACTTTCTCAATACTTTCAGAAAACTTATAAAGCTTAGCTAAAATTATTAAAGCTTTTAAGATTGGTACGAGGCAAAGAGCTTGTTGGTTAATCCGAAAGAAACAAACGCCATGATTTTCAACAGGAAATATAAATCCAAGATTAAGGCATTAAAGATCCGAGGTAATACTATTATTTTTCTTTTTCGGTTCAGATACTTGGGAGTCCTAGAAACTAAGCTGGAATAACGACAACATCTTTAAATCAAAAGAAAAAAATTCTATATCTCCATGTGCATGCAAAAAAGCCATGACTAAGATCTGGGATATCAAATCCACAATTGCCCTCTGGCTGTATAAAGTAGTTTTACATCCCAGTCAGAAGTGAAACATCAGTTCAACGTTGATTCGACGTCTGAGAGGTTGAGAATTCATTGAGTCAAATTGAAAATCGACTTTTGTACAATATCGACTATTATTTTTGTTTCATAGTGTCTGAGATAATCTAAATTGATTGTGATTCTTTTCATTATATTATTATAATTCATTGAGTCATCGACTTTTGTACAATATCGACTATTATTTTTGTTTCATAGTGTCTGAGATAATCTAAATTGATT